AAATCCAAAAATGGAGCCTCTGAGGCTGTTCTGGTGCTTTTGGGGAGGTTTCCTGTCAGCTGGTTCGTCCCAGTGTCCCTGTGATAAACAGCTGGGAGTAAATGCGAGCTTTAAATTAAATTTTAATGGTGTTTGGCTTTCTGCAGCGCTTCAGCCCATTGTGATCCAGACAACCCTATAGCAAAGGGTGCGTATATATGTCCAGTAGCCAGCCCTGTCCTCGTACAGTGGCCAGAAGTCACAAAAAGTGACACTTCAAGTGTCACTGACTCAAAGTTTCTTTTGTCGCATCCAGCCCCAGCCTGTTTTAGGAGTGAGGGTGCAGGATAACCTCTGTCTGTAAGCGCCAGCAGCTCCTAAAGCTCTTTTTGTGTAGAGAAGCGCTTTATTCTCCACGTGGTTCAAAATCTGTGTCTCTTAAAATAGAATAAATATGCCCTTTAATACCTCATCTTGTTTAAAAACAAATTTGGAGTTTATTGAAGGGCTTTCTACCTACTTGGCAGTGCTTTGCTGCTTGACAGGCTGTACCTAAACAATAACATACGTATAAGTCGTGGTTTGGGGTTTCAGTGCCAGAAGCCTGTCCACTCAGTGTTGAAATAATTCTGCATCGCTCTGCTGAACTGGATAACTCTGAGGGCAGCTTTGCCCGTACTTGTTTGATGTTCGTTTTCTGTGCCTGTTTCAGGGTCTTCTCTCATCTCTTGCCACAATATTTTTCATAGGCTGTTCTTGCTCCTTAATTTTTTTTTTTTTAGGCATTCCAAATGGGATCTGAAGAAGAAATATTTTCATACCAAGCGCATTTGAGGAATGCTGGAGGGTTAGAGAGTGTTTCAGCAAGCGGTTAAAAAAAACAGATTAAAAGTTGTCTTGTCAATTGAGTGTTTAATAAGGATTCAGAGTAACCTTTGCTTTCTAGCCCGCAAAGTTTCCAGATCCTGACACATTTGGTAGTATTCTGCTCTCATCCAATGTTTTTCAGCTTGGAAAACTCCAGAGACTTTGGAAGTCTTGTTGTGGTAAGGTAGGACTTGGGGACTTGGGCAGAGCTGACAGAGTCCTTCCTCACTCAGGAGATCCGTTGTTGCCCCTCCTGATGTTCTGTGGAGGCAGCAGCGTTTGTAGATGTCTGGTCTGGTTTCGGCTTTGGCCCCGCAGTGCCACAGCCATGAGCAGCCTCGGTGAAGGAGCGAGATGTTGTTGTTGTGAAAGGAAGGTTTAAGGGCAAAGTTCCATCCTTGCCCCCGGACTGTTTGTATGTGATTGAGCAAATAATGTGGATAACCAACAACCTGGCCAAAAGGCAGGGGAAAAGGTTCTTTGAGCTTGGTCAGGCTGAACTGGTCTCCAGGAAAACCTTGCAACTGGCTGTGCTGGTGGTGTGATTTTGGAGGAGGCAGAGGGACAGGAATCGGTGGGGAAGAGGAATGTTAGGGCCTGCTTTGCTGCAGGAGAGATAAACTTAGGAACATGAGATCATCCTTGAGAGAGCTAAGGGGTTTTTGTTTTTTTTTTTTTATAATAAGAGTTGTTAATATTTAATGAAGACTCAGACTCAACATTCAGTAAATTACTTGGATAGTTAAATTCAAACTGGTGGCGTAAATTTAAATCTGTCACCTGAATACTTAGAAAGTCCAGGAAATACTCCTGAAGTGACTAATATACTGATTTTCCAGAAGCATAAATCAGTTAAAGCATCCTCAGCTTTGTTAAAAAAACAAAACAAAACATGGGGCTCCACATGTTGTGTCTGTTAGTTTTCATCTTTTTTTGAAAAAAATACCACCCAAGTAAAAAAAAAAAAAAAAAATCAGTCAGTGGATTAAGAATTGTTTGGAATTAAATTGAATTACTTACTGGCGTCATTGGAATGATGGTTAAATGAAGAGTGAAGAATAATGATGAACGTAGTCTTTGCTGTGTGTGTACGAGGGGTCAGTTCTGAGGATTTGTTCCCAGCCTGGGTATGGGACCCTCCCTGCAGCACCAGTTCTGATGCTTTTCAGCCCTCTGCATACACAGAGACCTCTGGAGATACATATATATATATTAGTGACTGCGGTGTTGAGGTGTAAAAACCTGAAGAGTGGACGTTTTGGATGAATAATAATTAGCAGCTATTTATTCCTCTGACAAAATAAATTCTGCTTCTGACTGTTTTTGGATCGTTACCGTGTCAGCACCACATTTTAGGGGATATCAGTGGAGTGAGCTTGTCCTTCACGAGTTTGGAAAGTCGTTTTCTGAAAATCCTGCAGCTTGGGGTCCAGATACACGAGAGGCAGAGGAGTGTCCGGACAAACCACCCAAAGATTTCGGACAACGCAGCCTCTAGGAGAAAGCCTGAAAATAGCATTCACGTGCAGCTGAATGCGCGGGCGTTTGCATTTGCGGTCATTCTTCTTTCTGCAGAGATCCTTCTCGTGTTACTGGAATACCTGGGGATGTTTCATGGCGGCTGTAGGGGCTCTGCTGTTCAACTGGGGGAAAGTTCGCAGGCTGCACGCCAAGGCAGAGAGCCGCAACTCTCATCCACAGCTTATGAATAAATAGCATGAAGTTTTTTGGTTAGGGAATGGTTTTCCTCTTAAGGGAATCAAAGTTAAAATGCATATAAAAAGGTGTTTTGTTTTGCTTTTTTTTTTTTTCTCTTTGTGGAAACTGTTTCTGAGTATAAGCCAAAAATCTGCTGATTTTTCTAGGAGGAGGGACTGGGCTCTTTGTTTTTTAAAAGAAACACTGGCACTGATGTCTGATGTGGATCTTTATCAGGGAGTGGACTGGTCAGGCAAGGGGGAATGGTTTTAAGCTGGAAGAGGGGAGATTTAGATGAGATATTAGGAGGAAATGTTTTCCTGTGCGGGTGGTGAGGCAGTGGCCCAGGTTGCCCAGAGAAGCTGTGGATGCCCCATCCCTGGAGGGGTTCAAGGCCAGGCTGGATGAGGCTTTGGGCAACCTGGGCTAGTGGGAGGTGTCCCTGCCCATGGCAGGGGGGTGGAACTAGATGGGCTTTTAAGGTCCCTTCCAACCCAAACCATTCTATGGTTCTATGGTTTTATTCTATAACAAAGTTCAAAGGTTAATGCGACAATGATTTAACAGGATTCGTTGGCAACACACACTTGATTATTTCCTGAATAGAGGACGGTCAAAACTGTCAGGGAGACCTCCCTGGGGTTCAGAAGGACCCCCTTGCTCTCTATACTCCTTCTCAGAGAGGAACCCAGGTGCGGCTGGATGCCACCCTAGTCCCACCGGTGGTCAACGGTTTATGTCCAAAGGGTTATATATGTGTAATCAATCCTTTACATCACTTAGCTAAGATCTCATAGTTTAGCATGCTGTTAAGAATCTGTTGCGGGAAGCAATCTCTCGCCCTGGAGGAGTAACCTCAAGAGGCATCCCTACTCAAGAGGACTGGTGGTTATCGCTTGAACAGAGCTGTGGGAGATAAAGGTCAGGTCACCACACCTTCACACCATTAATTCTGTGTACCTTCCCAGTCTAAAGTATTTCTATATCCTCTAGCTGCTTTATCTTGAACTGCCTGGCTCCACGTGGTCTCTATTTATTTACTAACCCTCTTGTGAATTTAGGATGTTATCCAGCTGATGCCAGCTTGGTGATTCTCTGTTTGTTTGGCTCTAATAATAATAATTCTTACTTCTGTTGCAGGTGTATTCATTGTGGCAGCAAAGCGAACTCCTTTCGGGTCCTATGGAGGGTCGCTGAAGGACTTCACGGCCACTGATCTGACGGAACACGCCGCTCGAGCTGCATTGGCTGCTGGCAAGGTCTCTCCGGAGATCATCGACAGTGTCATTGTTGGCAATGTAATACAGGTTGGTAGCATAGAAAATTTGCTGGTCAGTGATTATTTCAGACATCCTATAGATGGTTACCTTGTCTTTGCAGCCAAGAATAAACCCAAGGGGTTGAAATGAAATGAGTAAGTAGCCTTTATCGTGTAGTGTTCCCTGTTCGTGTTTAAGAGACATACCCTGCATGATTGGTGATATTATTGGGACCAAGGCTAAGCTTTCTTTTTTTAGTACCAAAGGTAGTTTAAACTAGGACGAGCTGATCTTTTAAAAAATGTGGATTCATTAAATGGTTAGCTGCTAATCCGTGGTACGTATCTAGATTAGGGTTTTTGTTTTAGGCGAGACAGTAGAGAACATTTCTGGTTTGGTTTTGTTTTGTATTCTGTTTTTCCTGTTGTTAAGGGCAGGCACTCTCACCTTGAACTGAGTGTTTCAAGGGTGCAGAAGGAACAAATACCTGATAACTTCCATGATAAGTGAGCAAACATTCAGTATTCCTTTAAGGATTTTCGGCCAAAAGAGTAGCTTTTGATTATTCTGTCTCCTGCTTCTTTTATTCAACTTTTTTTGTTTTTATAAGAACTCTTTGTGGCCTAGAAAAAAGCAATGCTTCATACAAATCTCTTATAATGCTTTCACATAAAAAACGGCATTCTCCTAATAGTAAAAAATTTTTTTCATTTTGAAATTACATTTATTTTCCTTTCTTCCTTTCTTTCCTTTCTTTTATCTTCCTTTCCCCATCCCAATAAATTTCATTTTTTTACTCCTGGTTTCCTTTTAAATATTATTTGACTAAGTTTAAATAACTACAAATGTATTGCTGTTTTAAACTCTCCTTCTTCAGCAGAAGTGGCTTGATTAATTTTGGTTTTTTCTAAACTTGCATTATTGTGCACAGAACTTTGCCTTTATGATACATATTGCCTGAGGGCATGATCCCCAAGAGCATGAGTGTTCTCTCTGTTTGGAAAAGATACATTACAAACCGTGCTGCTAGAATTTTTTATTCTGTACCTGTGCTCACCATCATCTGCTGACTCAGTAGTTGAAATGCGGAAGCCGAATTGTTTTTGTTTCATCTCGTGTTGGAGCCTGGTTTCTGAAGCAAACTGCTCCGTGTGCGGTACGTTGCCTCTGAAATAGAAATGTGATGGAAGCATCTTTGAAAAGCTTTGGAGGAGTGAGATTTCATTGTGAGAACAGGCCAGTGTCCAATTCGAACATCACAATTATGAAGTTTCACAAAGTGGATATGAAGCAGCAGTGGCATCTCTGCACTTTCCACACTCTCTGTTTTTTGGGCGCCTGTTGGTCTGAGCGATTGAAATTTACCTTGAAATAATTACTGCGTGCCAGTCCAGGTCTGGGCTTATGTCAGTCCATTGTGTGTGTGTTGTTTTGACAACAAGGGATGAGGGAAAACAGAAGACTATTTAGTCGCTGACTTCAGTTGTAACATCTGTGATCCCAGTTTTGGCCTGATGCCTGGCCTTTACAACACAGTTTTTTTAAAAATGTGTATTAAGACATTGTCCCTTTTTCATCATACAGGATGGTGTGTTTTTCAACTGGATCAGAGTGCTTCATATGACTTAGGAATTTCTGTTGCTGTCTTCTGTCAGTGATGCAATTACACCATTCTGACTTCTTATCAAGACTTTTACTTTCCAAAGACATCAGAGCCTAACAAAACCTCCTCTTTGTTCTGCCTGCAGAGCGCCACAGATGCCATTTATATTGCCAGACACGTTGGTTTACGTGTGGGCGTTCCTGTCCCAGTTCCAGCCCTCACTGTCAACAGACTTTGTGGCTCTGGTTTCCAGTCCATTGCCAATGGATGTCAGGTACAGAGCTCTTTTTTTTGGTGTTAGTTGTAACTTTTATCTGTTAACATGAGAGAAGAGATACATGTAGAAATGAGTGTTTGGTATTTGGGATGAGTCTTAATGTGGATTTTTAGCTACTGATGAGGCTTCCTGTTGTTCTGGATGATTTTGTGCAGGAGTTCAGCCTCTGCAGTGCCGTGGTTTGTGGCTAGTTTTAAAAAATCACCATCGTAGCTATTTTTTATTTAATATAAAGAATGCAACAAGTGCTAGGCAGTGAAACAGAGCTCAGCTGTGCAATGGTGCGTTCCATGATCCTGTTTGTATGAGTTGGAATTACTGGGCATCGGAACCACAACAGGAGGCTTTCATCTTTTGATCATTGTTTATATTCTCACCTAGCTGTGGAAGCAGCAACCTGGGCTTTTTAAGTGTGTTTTTGTTCAAAGATCCAAACCCTCTCATGGGATGGATAATTTATAGCATCACTTCTTTTAAAATAGAAGAAAGTCAACTTCTCTTTGAGCAGCTGGCCAAAACCACTGAGTCAGATGGTGCAGTGATTTTTATTTCATTTGTTCACACAGACCAGCAGTCTATGACTAGCTGTGGTCTAGACTTTACAAAATTAAAGGGTATTTTATAAATATGTAAGCAGCCACATAGTTTTCTTGTTTGGTTTTCTGTTTTTTAAAAAAGTTCCCATGGGCTAGACAATTGTTTTAGGTCTGATCCTCTAGAGGAAAAAATGTGGAAGGCAGTGCAGAGTTAAGCTTACGTTGGTCTGCACTGAAAAAATCTGTTGGAGAATTTGACCTTTTACATCAAAAGTATGGTTGTGAAGTCTTTTCCAAAGATGACATTTAATCAATGCAGCTAGTATTTCTATATTTCTCTGGTGCACAGAAAAGCTGCAGGTTCTGCTCTGAGCTGCTTAGATGTACACAAAGTTTTTGGTAACTATAGGAAGCATCTCGGCACGTATCACTACAGATCAGTCATACTAATTATTAACGACTCATCTCAAACACGTATCAAGATAATTTCACCTGCCTCCACTGCAGTAGACAAATAACCTTAACTGAGTGTCCAACTGAGCGAATCATTTTAAGAATTTTTGAGTGGTCTGATGGTGCGTTTAGGGGTTTTTGGGTTCTGTGCGCTTTGCCAATGATGAATGGTGATCCCAATCTTAATAGAATGGTAAACCCTTCATAAATATACACATGGCTGAGCCCAAATTCATTCTATGTGTGTGGCTTTGTAGGTGATGAGGTCTTTTTCTAAACCGGTTGTTATTGTCTTACCAAAACAGCAAACTAAATCCTGGATCTGTTTTGTTTTTCTGTTAACAGGAGATTTGCCTTAATGACTCAGAAGTTGTTCTGTGTGGTGGAGCTGAAAATATGAGCCAGGCTCCTTTTGCAGTTCGAAACATCCGATTTGGAACCAGATTAGGAGCAGAACTCAAGGTCTAGTATTTTTTTTTTTTTACTTTTTTTTTCTTTTCTGTGAATAAAGTCATGTTTATAGAGCAAAGTATCATGCCTGTAGACACTGTACCCTTGCAAATGAAATTATTGGAGATCAGATCCAGATTTAGTTGTTCAAAGAATTTACCCAGTATTCAGACACTACCAAACAGTATGTTCAGAAGACTTTGTTAAGTGTGCCATTTTTCTAACTTCTCCAAAACTGTCTTTGAACTCCTGTTCCATGTTAAGCATATCAATAAACCTTAGACACAAAACTTATTTCACTTGGTGCATCCCATCAAAGTACTGTATGTAATATAAAAAGTTTTCTGATGCCAGAGACTGTGAAATAGAGGCACTCAACGAGCAGATAGGCTGGTAAAGAACATGTATACCTCCAAGCATCTCTCAGTTTTAAAAATGGAAACTTGAAGTTAAATCCATTGACAGATAAATTATTTTTACATTTTTTTCTGACGATATATCCTTAGTTAATATCGTGGGAAATTTCCAGCAGGATCCTGTTCTGCTCTGATACTCAGTGGGTCATAACCAGCATCAAAATGCTAAATTAGGGTATTTCAGTGTTTCAGCCCTTTGTTTTTTTCTACGCTGTTTTTCCATTCCATAATTAGAAACTGCCAATAATAAATGTTAATATTGCTGTGCTTTCTCATTTTTTTTCTTCATGTTCCATGCAGTTGGAAGACACGTTGTGGTCAGGTCTAACAGACACGCATGTGAAAATACCCATGGCCGTCACAGCTGAAAATCTGGCTGCAAAATACAACATCACGCGAGAGGACTGTGACCGGTACGCATTGAAAACGCAACAGAGGTGCAAAGCTGGTGAGTAAATTTAGGAATGGAAGTGTTTATCTGACACTAGTTTCAAATCTAGTCAGTTTTTAGCATCGATTCAAAGTATTTTCAAGTTTTGTGTAGCTCTCATAGTGTAATTTGTCTTTTGATTTGCAGATGCTGTAATTCATACTTCAGTTTGCCCTGTGATACAAGTAGCCCACTCCTGGGGGGGGGTTGACTTTGAATAGACTTTCTTTCCTCTCCGCTGCAGAACAGTCCTCTCCCACAGTGACCCACATCCTTCTTGCATGCCAGCATGTGCTGTAATTTATCTAAATACTTTTTATTTCTTTTGCAAGTCATATGCTGTCCTACGACCCTTGAACAATTAGAGCCGATGGAATCCAAAGAGGAGATTTTGCCTTGCTGGTTTTATTTCTGTTTGTTCTAACCAGTTCATCTTATTCCACACTAAAGAGAGAGTCCTGTGGCTAATCAGGAAGGAAAAAGATTTTGTAGTATTCACTGAGAAAGTTCAGAGGTAGTTAAACAACAGTTTCAGTGTCTTAGTTAAAAATCCCTTAGAGTTGCATTTGTGGAGTGATTTGGAATCTTGGTTCAGTTTTGGGAGATAGGAGTTGTTTTGGTTTTAAGCAGTAGCTTATGCTGGTTATCAACAAAGAAAATGTGGCTCAGGATTTTTTTCACGTTCCTCTGTGAGTGGGATTTACAGCTTCTTGTCCCTCTGACAAGTGGCAGAGATGTAGAATAAAACAACAATTCAGAGGAGTGTGTACCAAAAATAAATCTAGTGGTTAAAAAAAACCCAACAAAACAAAACAAAAGAAGAGTTTAGTTATTTAAAGCTGAAATAACACTTCAATGTTTGAGACTTGCTTTGGAGAAGTTTGAGAATGTATTTGTAGAGTTTTTGCCCAGTTTCTAAAAAAACAAACAAACCATGAAACACCAACCAGCCTATTTAAGCAAAATAGAGCATAAACAGTTCTATCCCTGAACTCTTGGTTAAAATAGAGCAAAAGTTGTATGCACATGAATATAGGATTATTGGTCGTGCTGCACAATCATCTGGATATTTTTATCAGTCCTTTTATTTTCCTTTTTGTGGTTGCAGCTCAAGATGCTGGTTACTTTAATGCAGAGATGGCACCAATTGAAGTGAAAACGAAAAAGGGGAAAGAAAGTATGCAAAAGGACGAGCACCCAAAACCCCAGACCACTCTGGAACAACTGGCAAAACTTCCACCTGTCTTTAAGAAGGATGGAACGGTCACCGCTGGGAATGCTTCAGTGAGTACGTCAAAGCCTGGGGTTGTGAAAGTGTCACCTCTAAGGTTCTTCAAATTTAGTGTCGCTGTATTTACGTCTCGCTGAGCCATCTTTGGCTGTCACTGGTGTCTTGAATTCAGCCTTGTATTACGCAGTTGATACCTGCAGTGGCTATGTAGAATTAGCCATTTTGCTGTCTTTTTTGGGACAATAATTACTGAACATTTTTTAACAAATCCTGCATTGTATTAGTGGGCATGCTGCTGCTGCTCGTCTTTGTACCACAATTAGTATCCTCTGGAGTCCAAACCACATTTTGCTCTTACCCAGAGTAGAGTGGGTGCTTAGGAGCATGTCATTACAGACTGTTCCTCTTACAGTCATTATCTTAATCAATTGATTAATGTTCTTTGGGCTAGAAGGACCACTGTGATCATGTAATCTGAATTCCTGCCTAAAGTAGATCATAGCCACAGTAAGTAGGGGTATCTGTAAAGTATCTTTTATAATCAGTAGTACATATATTATCCAATGTTAATAGTGTCCTTGCAAGTCTACAGAGTGATATTCCCAGTATAAAGGAGACTTTAAGTGGCAAAAATGTATTTTACTTTTCTAAAACATTGGAATTCATTAAACACCTATATTGAACTTTCTTTTGCAGTCCACAGAATAGTGAAAGATTGTGGTTAGTTTTGATTAAACATAAGCTGAAAGAGGGCAGATTTAGATTAGACATTAGGAAGAAATGTTTTCCTGTGCGGGGGGTGAGGCAGTGGCCCAGGTTGCCCAGAGAAGCTGTGGATGCCCCATCCCTGGAGGGGGTCAAGGCCAGGCGGGGGGAGGCTTTGAGCTAGTGGGAGGTGTCCCTGCCCATGGCAGGGGGGTGGAACTCGATGGTTTTGAAGGTCCCTTCCAATCCAGACCCTTCTGTGATTCCATGATTCTATGATTCTATAAACACTAATACAATTCCCTGTTAAATGTTAGTAGAGTCTTGGATTCAGGCTTTTTTGAGGGGTGTATTTAGTTTAAATTGTGGGGGGTTTTGGTTTGTATCTTCTCCACTAAGAAAGCTTTTCTCTCTTATCGCAAGGGGGTGTGTGATGGAGCTGGCGCAGTCATCATTGCCAGTGAATCAGCACTTAAAAAGCACAGTCTTACTCCGCTGGCAAGAATAGTAGCCTATCACTCAGCTGGCTGCGACCCTTCCATAATGGGCATTGGTAAGTTGCAAGCAACCCTCTCTGTTAGTCACTCAAGAAAAGAGGCACTCTCTCAATTTTTTCAAAAACAATTTTCTCCTGAAATTCACTCCAGTTTCCTGTAAGCTTTAAATCCCTTTATTAAATGTGTAACTCTGAGTTTTCTTGCTGAAGGAATATCGTGTATGTGTACACCTTTCAGCAGTTACTCTGTTGCTTAAGCTAAGATTGGATTCCAGGGCACACATCCGTTCAGGTATTATTTTGGCAAACCAACTACTTCTCTTTTTTTTTGTTAGACCCATGTTTTATGCTTCCTGGTCAAGTAGCTGTTAAACAAACCCTCCGAGACGATCCAGACACCCCAGGATTTTTCCCTTCTGTTTAGTCTGTAGACAGCATTGTATCCCAGCATCGCTTTTTCTTCCTGCCGTTCTGTTCAGAGAGGTCACTGTTGGCTGGTTCCATGTGTCAGTAGAAATGTAAATGAAGCATTGTCAGATTTGTTTTCTTGATCGGACTATCTGCCTAACACAACCTTCAAAGCAAATGGAGAGGGAGGGTTTTTTTCGCTAGACTTCATGCTGTCATTGTGCTTTCTAAACTAGCCCATTCTTTCTAGGTCAGGCAACTCTTTTCGCTTGTTTAAAAACTTCATAAATCATATGGAGAAACAGTTAGTATTCTAACTCCTTAACACCACAGCTTGTCCCTAGCAACTCAGAAAGTCCAGATGAGATTCATCGGCATGACAGCAACGGATCTGAGAAGAGGAGCTCAGACTGAGCAACTGCACTTTCACATACTGATAGTGATAGGGAGTCCTGCCTCACAATGACTAGTGAGAGAATTCATTATTTAAAGAAAAAAAAAAAAAGAAGAGAGAGACAAAAAAAGTCTACTTGGCTGTCATTAGTGGTCTCTGTATTGTTCACATGAGACCCTCCCATTACTCTCACGCATAACAGGCATACTAAAATCCGTCCATAATGAGATGCGTTTAAAGTCTGGTTTTACGCCATCTGAGGCTTTCTAATAATCCACTGAGCCCTTTCGTCTTTTAATTTTTCTGTCTCTTTGGTCATTTGCTTATTTTTGTGTTGTTTATTCTTTGAGCTATGAGTTTTCAACAACATTTTTTCGGTAGTGAGGTAGCATTTGGGATTGTTAACTTTTTAATATTGGGGGCTTTTGTCTAATGATCAGCTACCATCTAACAGCTCAATATCTTTGTCCTACAAGCACATATCTAGTTAGCCCTCTCAAATTCTCTGTCTCTTTCCGTAGGTAGCTGTGCTTTCAGATTAATCTCCCCTAAGGGATTATACTAAATCACAGATGTCAGCTTTCTTCAAGACAACAGTTTTATTGCCAAACTCTGTAATATTCTTAAAAAAAATAATTTCCTGTCCTCAGTTGGCTGGGACTTCTGTCCAAGGGAATATTTTATTGTTAGGTTTTTTAACTAGAAGATTTTCAGATAAATTATATTAAGAAGAGCAAAACAACAATACCTGTAACTCAACATCTGACCAGCAAACTCCAGAACAGCCTTTTTCTTTTCTGTATACCTGGAGGCTGCAAGTTGTGAGGAAGGAATAAGCCGCACCAAGAGTACTGACTGGGAAGGAGAATGCCTCAAAACTGTCGTGAAGTTATTTTATTTGGCTGGGGACTGTCAGTTCCCTTGACTTTCAAGCTATGTGTGTCTTTACCAACATAGCTGTGCAGTAGTGACACTCCTAGCTTTCCCTGGCGGTGTGTTGCAAAGGCTGACAACTAGTTTTGAGATTTAGATATTATCTTACCACCTGATAAAGCAGGTGAGTGGCATATTCAGAATTTATTGGCTGCGGTCATGGGAGGGGATCTGATGAGGTTTTATGAACCTATCCTATGAATAACATATCTATAAGCCTTTATTTATTTTTTATTTAACTAACTGTGCCTACAATTTCCAAATAGGCCCTGTACCTGCAATTACCGAGGTTCTGAAGAAAGCAGGATTGACACTGAAGGACATGGATTTGGTAGAGGTAAGGAGTTTTACCACGAACAGTGAGGTTACTCCTGATCTTTTTGGCAGAAGTATTCCACTCATCTGTGTAGCCCATCATCACCAGGTGGGTGTTGCTGCATGTCTGGAGCCCACTTGTCTTAGCTCACCTGCTTGACTTCCCTCCATCTAGTTTCTACCACACGGTTGCACAGTCATTATAAACATCTCAGACGTGGAAACTGAGAAGAAGCACACCTCGTTTAATCTTGTGTGTACGCATGCTGCTGGAAACTTGTAGGGAAAGAGCAGTTGTGTTGTTTCTCTGATGTTTTAGGTGAATGAGGCATTTGCACCTCAGTATCTAGCTGTGGAAAAAGCTTTGGGCCTCGACCCTGAAAAAACTAACGTCAACGGAGGTGCCATCGCTATAGGTCATCCTTTGGGAGCTTCAGGATCACGGATCACGGCTCATCTGGTTCATGAATTAAGGTGTGTACCTAGCTGCTGGTAGCGAATGCCATGCTGATGTATTTACTCCTGCAAAAGAACTTCTATATGGATATTGTGTGGCTAAAATCTTCCAGTCTGCTGACTTCAACTCTCCACACTAGAGTGTACCGCTTTCTGTACAATTTTTTTACCTTTGTGCTGTAGTTCAGGTCCTGCAGCTTGCCTCTAATTCCATTCTGGTGTCATTACAGGATTTTTTGCTTCTTCTAGAGCTGATCCAAGCCCATAGCAGTCAGTGGGAAGGTCTTCTTTATTGAAATGGCCTTTGAGCAGAGTCTGTTCTTTTCTTAACTTGGTCTGTTTAAAGGGCTTTGTCATCACCTTCTTTCTCCTGTAGTCCATTTTCAGAAATTCTGTCTCTTTTGGCTTGCTTGAGATGCTTAGCACCATTTTAATATGAATTTTCCTTTTTATTTTCCCCCAGGTCAGAGATCGCTGTATCTTTTTGCTTGTACTTGCAACACTGTATTAGTGTTCAGCCATAAGGTCTCAGTTAATTTGCACTTTGCAGTAAACTGTTTCTTGGAGTGTGGTTGTGGAAAACGTAGCTTTTAAAAACTAAAATGGCAATAAAATTATATTTTACTTAGGACGTTTTTATTACGTGTTGAAACCACAAGTATCCCATAATGTCATTCCTTGCCATTTTGTATTCCTAAGAACAGCCTAACTGTATTTTAGATGGTAAAAGACCAGACCTTGTTTTTCCACAGAAATATTTCAACATCAGATGAGGCTTCATGGTATTTTTCTAGAAAAAGAATAACATACACATTCCAAAATGTCATACTGAGTAGTACCTAGTAGATAACTAGGTGCCTTTCGTAAAATCAGGACGACAGCTATTATGTATTCACAAAAGTAAATATTTTTCACTGCTACTTTTTCCGTACAGGCGTCGTGGTGGGAAATACGCGGTTGGATCAGCTTGCATTGGTGGCGGACAAGGTATTGCTCTTCTCATTGAGAACACAGCCTGAGAGATTCTGGAGACTGCTGTGTTGCCCGAATTACTGATTCCCTGAGAAACTCCTCCCTTTTGTGACAATAAATCATCACTGCCTGCCTTCGTTTTGTGCCATTCCTGCAAGGTAAAGGAATAGCTAAGAAGTCTGAATCCTGAACAAAAAGATTCATTAATGTCTTTCTAACTGAAGGAAGTGTAGCATCAGTATAATTTCACACTGATGAAGTATCTTCTAAAATCCTCTTTTCAATCAATGTATTTCTGTAGGCAAAATTCTTTTCATTTCCTGAGGAAATTGCCTGCCAAACTTTCACCAAACCTGCCTTAAAGTAATGGTCAGTGCAGCTTTTTGAGCAAGTATTGCTTAAAACTGTTCTTATTTCAGCTGCTGCTGCTGTCTGGCACATGTGCCTCTTTTATTATCAGGACACGTGGAAATTTAAATGGGGACTTTCTGACGTATATCCTGATTGTAGATTGATGGCTCTAACCTGTACCCTGCTGTTTCGCAAGGGAAAAGAAAAATGAGCAAAAGCTGAAATTCCCGTTGTGCCTCCCAAAAGAACAATAAATATACCAGAAAAAGGGCTTGGTGTTCTTTTGTTTGTTTGTTTATTTTGAAAGGAATTCGCTGTGAGAATTGTGACTTGGGGTAAGTCAGTGTTGGGCTTTGGAGAGACTCGTTTCTTCTGGCCGAGGAATAACTGGTGTTGACTAGGTAGTTTCTAGAGAACTCGAGCAAATCTGCCAGCCTTCCAAGAAGGGTGGTAGTTGCATCTAACTGTGCATCTAACCGTCGAGAGCAACTTGTGGCTTCCTCCAACGTAGATGTCTGCATTAAATACTTGCAGTGAGTTGGGCAGATCCCATGTCAGAGATGGAACGCGCTTCTCCGTAGCCTGTACTGTGCTACGCAGACTAAAATAGTCGCAAAGACTTCAGCCTTCACTCTTTCTCATCCTCTGTCTGCTGTCAAAATATTGCTTATCTACAACTTCGTCTTGCCGCTCCGCTGGCGTGAGCTGTGGTTGTTGTGAAAGATGGGAGGTTATTCAAAACCTGACTGCCCAGCCTAGCAAGAAATTCAGGTCAAGGCAAGTGTTGGTACAACTGGTGGATAACAGTTGAAGTAGGCTGAGTGCAGTTCCTGGGGTTTTTGTGGGTGCAATGTCTTTCACTACTATAGAAATATTTAGTGCTGTTTATATGGATTAAGAAAAAAACCCAGCTGCCATAAGGCAGCAAGCCAGATGTTCATTTAACACACTATATTTTTCTTCTTTTATCTGTATTATACTAAGTCGGGTTTACTGGGGTTTCACTGTTCGAGGTACAGTTGCCACGTGGATTTTGTAAAACAGAGTATTTTCTACTCTTAGTTCCTTCCATAGTAACCAATAAACAATTCTCTTCTTGACTGTGGATAATCATTGAACTCTATTTTCAGAGAATTGGCAGCAGTTTTTCCAAGGTCTCATCCCCATATAGTAACAGTTCTTTCAGAGCTCGTCACTATGTAGGTACAGTAAAGAATAATCCCCTTTGTGCACTTTATTTTTTTTCATTTATTTGTTTCATTTCCTCCTTTTATCACTCAGGTTTTTGAGATCCATGTGTAATTCTATCTGTGAGAGTTGAATTTGCTCATCCTGAATAATCGTATATTTTCTGCAGAACGCATCATGATGTCCACCTCGTCTTCCCAATAACTGATGATCATGTTATCAGCACAGATGATTGCACATCCTGCTGGTAACCTTTCTTTGATGCGTGATCCAACTGCTTATTCCCGTATCATTCCATTTTTGTCCTGTTCATTTCCTGTAAGAGCATCTGATGAGGGGCTGTGTCACGCTCCAGCGAAATGGTCAGTGACTTCGTATCCAGGGGGAAGTCTTTCTTCTGAAAGGTGCAGGGATTTGGGGGAATATGCTGCATTCCTCTTCTGTAGCTCCTAATTTCACTTTTAAGCCTAGAGTGCAATATTCCCAGAAGTGTAAAACCAGGTTCAGTGCTAGGTCTGTTTGCTGTGCTGCACACTATTGGCTTTTTCTTAACCAGGTCGTTATTAAAGATGAGCAAAAGCATGGACATTTTGTTCCTGAGCTAATCTCCCAGAATATATTGGGGTGCCTAGCCCTCAGGATTTAGTCTGAGCCTGTCTTTACTAGCAAGTCCAATCATTTGTTACAGAATAACAGCAGTAATATCTGATCCTTGTACCTCATTCCAAAATATGTTCTTCAGTTTCCCAGATACAGCAATGTGAGAACTGTGCTTCTGCCTTTGGGAACTGAACGCATCTCTGCTGAGAGCAGTCAGGATTACAGCGATTGAATTGTGTCCTGGAAGGAGCAGAAGATACGGAAGAAATGTGTTAGATTTTAGAGGGATGATTGCGTACGTTGATTGTACCAAGTGCATTTTTTTTTTTCTTTTTAGGCTCAGGTGTATTCTTTATTTTTGTGTGAGCAGTCTCCATTATACAATATAATGAAAATGTGGATTTTGTCTTCCTTGAAGTGTCTGAGAAAAGAAAACACTTGTGGGAAGGATTCGTTGCCTGCATAGAGCTGTGCGATATTGACTCATAAATGGAGATGTAGGTTTCTACCACTGGGTGGTGTGTTCCAAACACCCTGCAGACCTCGATGCCTTAGGAAGGCGTTTGTCCTCCTTTAAGCAGCACAGCTTTTCCCACTGACTAGCTTAACCCTGAAACTGAATCACCCAAAATTTCCTATTTCTCCTTTTGTGGGTTTTGAACAGGCAGGTGCCACGATACCAACACATCTTTGTACATCCTGAAGTCTTTGGTGCCTCTTGATCTCAGGTGTATTAGAAAGTGTTTGTTGTTTTACAGGTTATGGATTATGTATAAGCAGTTCTGTTTTGTTGCTAGTGAGGGTCCAGTAACTAAGATGGGATGTTGTGCAGCATTCTATAAAACAAAAAAGGAAATCGTGAAGCTCCTGAAGTGCACAATTTCAGCCAAGTCTCACCTCATTGTGAGAGTATTTCTAATAAGCTCTTCCTCAGTCTGTAAATCCAGACATTTTCCATCTGGTGCGATGCTGTTAAGCTGGGCAGGGCTCTGTCTCACCTCTCCACCTAGAAAAGTCCTTGTTGTCCGATGGGGTCAGCTGGGTGCTGCACAGGGATGCTGAGGGGGGCCAAGGGGAGGAATTAATCCTTCTGAGAGTGCACAAGCTAAGGGTCTAGCAATGGGGGTGCAGTTTTCCTTTTCTGAAGAGATCTACGAGGAACTAGTGCTAGTGATGTCTTTGCTGACTTAGGTACTTTTACATGAAAAATTAAATTGAAACGAACAGATTGGAGCATGAGTTAAGTCTGAATTACACAGGTGATTGTTGGCTTTAGTTTTCTAATGGATAACTGCTTCTCATGGACGGTGAGTTAAGATAAAAAGGTAACATTTTGGAGCTTGTTTAAAGCTGATAACAAATCCAGCTGCAGAACTAGTAATGCTAGGTCAAAATGCTGTAGCCATAGGAATTGCAGGGCAGATCAGGTGTAGACTCAGGCTGCTCATCCACAGCTATTTGAAATTGGCAGCATGATACATTCATCCTGGCAGGTATTAAGCCAGAGCAGGTTTGGTTTTTTTTATCCTTTGGTGAATCTGTCTTCTGAGAGATCAGGAATTGCCCAAATGTGGCATTAGTGATTGTGAAACCACAGCTTTCATCTCTTGGAAAATCAGCGGGACAGTGAGCTGTTGCACGGAAGCTTAAGGCAGCAAGCTCAGGACAGGTAGCGTGCCAGTCGATGGAGCGGTTGTGGTGCCTGACCCTGACACCAACAGCAGGCAGACGGTGGAAGAGGCAGGAAGAGGGGAAAGGTTTCGGGTTTTTATTTCTGTGTTGCTGCCTGATAACCCGTGCGAAACATTTATCCTTCCTGTTACTAACTAATCAGTTAATGGAGCATGGAAACATCATCTGACTACATCTCAAAGGAGAACTCACCCCAGTTTTACTTTGAGAGATCTTAACATTGTCAGCGAGCTAGAGATCAGAGTTTTTATGGTGTTAGATTCTTCTGCGAGTTCTTCGCAGTAGTGTATCCAGACATGTTTCCTCAGTCTTCTATTTCAATATATTTTCTCTAGCAGTGTGTTTATTATAGCTGTTGCCAGGGAGAAAAAAAAATCTTAGTCTCTCTTTATAAACATTTAGCTGTAGTATAAGATACACATGATAAAATCGTTGGGCTTTTTGTTTTAATTGTAAGAATATTTTACACTGCGATGTTTTTCTCCTCTGCTGTGGTGATTTACAAACAGAGATTTTTCAGGTCTTGAGAAGGGATTTGCAAAATCTACAAAGAGCGTGAAGCAGAAGATGATGTAATTTACAGAAGACAGAACTTAAGAGATGGCAGAGCGTTGGGAAGTTGTATTTACAGGGCCTCCGATCATTAAATTGACCATTAAACAAATCCTGTTTTCACTGTTTTTTTTCTCCCACAGACAAGGCTGAAGTTTCTCACCTACACAAAGCTAAAGTTATGCTCCTAGTTCCTCTAGGAACTTTTTCCTAAGGTTGCAGTAACGTGATGACTGGGCACGAAAGCTCTCAGGAGTCAGGTTCTCAAGAACTTCGTGTTGCTCAATGCTTTGTGTTGCGTGACTCTTAAGATGGCTTCTGGATATCTCGGCAGTGGACCTGTGACTCTTGTGCTTCAAAGCAGGGCTGCTCCTTGCTCAAGTCTGTTTGTTTCCCGTGCTGGAGGGTTGGTATCTGTGTTCAGCCAACAGTCGCTGCCGTTTCTTGCTCTGCCCAGCTCTGGGGTGGGAGGTGGGGTGAGTGAGTGCTGTGGAAAAATGCAATTATAAATCTAAAAATAGATGCCCTGAGAGTCATTTTAGAGCCAACCAAACCCAAAGAATTTGCGGTATGTCGCTACCAGCTGCGTAATTCCAGTCCAGATCGCTGGCTTCTGAGGTGGGAAGGATTTCACTGTGACTCCTGGGGAGGGAGGGCGAGTGTCAGTGACTCCCATCAATGCATGTGTGATGGAGGAGAAGTCACTGGGGCTCTTGCCATCTAGAGATGTTCTCTTTTTCCTTTTTCCTTCTTCCTTTATTCCCTTTTCTCCCCTTGTTCACAATACCTGTTGCTTA